GGATCCTCAGCCTTGGGTTCCGTGTGGGCTGCTGTGCTGTGATGGAGCTAGGTCCATATGTGCTTTGCTGGTACAGCTCCCTTGCGAACCCTGTAGAGGTGTCGCAAACCAGAATGTGACATCACTTCGGTCCAGGCACCTCTACAGGACATGCGAGGGAGCTGTAAGCAATGCATGTATGGATGCAGCTCTCTCATGGCTATAGCTCCTACCCGCCCCACCTCAAGTTGACACTCTGCCCCGGGCAGCATATGTTGGATGGCTGCTTGGCGTGAGAACTGACAGCGCTGCGCTGGGGGGAGGCTGAGAAGCCTCTCGCCTAGAAAAGTGGAAGGCACAAGGCGACCCACTGAACATGGGGTCGCGACCCACTTTTGGGTCACGACCCACCAGTTGAGAACCAAGGCATTAGACCAAGGTTTTTCTACTATTCAGGATGAGGTTACAACTCATGCCTGATGACTACATTTGTAGACAAATAGTTCTAAACGAGAAACACAATGTGTGGATTCTGCCATGAAATGTTAAAGAGCAACTTCAGACAAAACAATCTGTGAACAACTAATTCCACTCAGAAAACACTGAAAATCCACTAAATGGACCTTCAAAGTGTATCTGAACCCCAACACATAAATTACAGCATACCGATCCTTAGATCTGGTGATCTGGCCAGTTAGGCTGTTATTTTTCAACTTCCTTTAAATGCAACAGCCACTTTTTAGAACAAATAACAAATGCACACTTCCTCAGAAAAGAAGGGCATTTATTATTTTTTTTGCATTGGAGCCAGTAAAGCTTTACAACCGTGATCAGTGTCCATTTTTTGGATGTCTTGGTGCATTGTCATCCCATTCATTTGAATGAGCTGCTTTAATGCAATGAATGTTCCTTTAAACTCCTGGGCAGGCTGGCTCCTGGCTCTCAGAGACAGCTGGCGGTCCCAGGGCTTGTGCGAGCAGGGGCCCTCCGATGCCACTGAGAACAGGCGTCATTTTAAAATGCTGCTGGGACGTAAAGGGGATCCTGCGAGACCCCGAAACGTCACATTGAGTGTATCACTCAAGTGGTTAAGAAAATGCAACGTAAGCCTAAAGGGTCAGTCTACCCAAAAGTGATATTTTAGTTACAGATGGTGTCTGGAGGGCAAGGTCAACACTGACTTCTTATATATCTTTGTTGCTCCAACAGCAAATTTTTTCCTTGCATAACTCCCAAATGTTTTCCTCTCCACTTGGGAGTTTGGGGTGTTCCAGCACTCTTTGCGTGTCCCAGCTTCCCCTGTTGTATTTCTCACGATATAAAATAACTTGAAAATATACAATAAAAGTAAGAATGGAAATCCCTTCTGAAGGTTAAAGCACACAGGTCTGACAACAAGCGTTCCTGAGACATAGAAGAAACTGCCTACTGGTTTACCCCTCTACCAAAAAATAAACCAGATTTGAAAGGGGTTTCAGATTTGGTGGACTGACCCGAAGATACAACTCAGCAATATTCTAAAAAGCATCTCATTTATATCTACGGAGCAAAAACTCTTATCCAGAGTCATCACTATTAATTCTTTTTAAACCCAAATAGAATAATATGAAGGCACGGTGTCCTTAAAGAAGAAATCCAGGAATTAAACTTAAGACTTGCAGCGGGGCTACACCCACACTGCAAGGGTTAACTGGTCATTTTTGTCTAGGGGTTTAAATACAGAAGATATGCTCACCCGACCGATCCTCGCGCAGTCAGCGTTCACCTTCTCCTCTCCCCAGCTGTGATATGTCCCTCTGTGTTCTCATGTCTTATGCAGGTTAATGAACCTGCATAAGACATGATGACATCATGGGTCCTTGTACTGCCAGATCTTGGGGAAGAAGAGGCTGCGGGGACTAGTCTGGGTGGAATCGGGGGTCAGGTGAGTACATTTTCTTTAATCCAGCCCCTAGGCCAAAACAAGCAGTTAACCCTTGCAGTGCAGGGGCAGCCCCACTGCAAGGTTTAACTTTGTTAATTTCTGGAGTTCTTCTTTGATGACTTTCAATCAGTCCAAAATGTGGATATTAAAAATATACATACAATGCCCATTCAATAATGAAATACATGACAGTAACAGTATACAATACAGTCTCCAATACATGCCTGCTACTCTGTAATTATATTGGAACTGCAGCTAAATATTTTCATGTTTTAGATAGAATGAAAAAGTGTTAGGTCCTCTGTCGGGTTTTTGGGGTGTTTTATGCTGTTTTTGTCTCCATTTGGGAGGTGTTCCTCACTCCTCGTCCCATTGAGTAATACATTAGAGGAGATTCCCACTGGTAGCTTTCAGAGTAAATCCCTACCCTCACACCAATCCTTTTGTTTGCAAGCCCACCTTTACCACGCCAGGATACTCTGGTTTGAAGACTAACCCTTCATCTTGGCATGGAAATCTATTGCTTTGCCCAGTAAGAGAGGTCACCGAGACAAGAAGAAACATCTCACTAGGACGTGGCGAGAAGAAAACGTGGCAGGCTGCTGTTGTGCTGCTGTCCATGGTGATGAACAGTCTTCTGATCACTGCAGTTCCTGCACATGATAATGCTCAAAGTATGAATTAATAGGAGAATTCTAGTCCTCTATCCCCTAAACCTGAGCCCCGATTCTGAGCTTTCCTTTGCCATGAACAAACAAATAGCAACTTTGATAATTGGTCGCAATGGCTCAGAATTTGAAAGACAAAGTATGTCCTGATGGCTTACGCTGTCAGCTATGTATTGGTACTTTACTCACTTGAGAGATCACATAGGTATAAGAGTTGGACCTGTTTATTGAATAAAGTCAGTGGAGAAAATATGGTGTAGTTCAAAAGGCAGTGAAAAGACCAATGTCTACAGTGAGTGCAGTAACCCATCGAAACCAGCATGGTTTGTCTTGTTTTGGTTACGTTGCCCCGGCATGGTTTGGTTACATTCCCCTAGCATGGTTTGCCTTGTTTGGTTGTGTTGCCCCAGCATGCTTTGTCATGGATTGCCTGGTTCTAGGCTAGTTGCCCCGGCATGGTTTTCCTTGTTTTGGTCACATTTCCCCGTCATGGTTTGCCTTGTTTTGCTCACGTTGTCCCGGCATGGTTTGCCTTGTTTTGCTCACGTTGCCCCAGCATGGTTTGCCTTGTTTTGCTCATATTTGCCCGGCATGGTTTGCCTTGTTTTGCTCACGTTGCCCCAGCATGGTTTGCCTTGTTTTGCTCATATTTGCCCGGCATGGTTTGCCTTGTTTTGCTCACGTTGCCCCAGCATGGTTTGCCTTGTTTTGCTCATATTTGCCCGGCATGGTTTGCCTTGTTTTGCTCACGTTGCCCCAGCATGGTTTGCCTTGTTTTGCTCATATTTGCCCGGCATGGTTTGCCTTGTTTTGCTCACGTTGCCCCAGCATGGTTTGCCTTGTTTTGCTCATATTTGCCCGGCATGGTTTGCCTTGTTTTGCTCACGTTGCCCCAGCATGGTTTGCCTTGTTTTGCTCATATTTGCCCGGCATGGTTTGCCTTGTTTTGCTCACGTTGCCCCAGCATGGTTTGCCTTGTTTTGCTCATATTTGCCCGGCATGGTTTGCCTTGTTTTGCTCACGTTGCCCCAGCATGGTTTGCCTTGTTTTGCTCATATTTGCCCGGCATGGTTTGCCTTGTTTTGCTCACGTTGCCCCAGCATGGTTTGCCTTGTTTTGCTCATATTTGCCCGGCATGGTTTGCCTTGTTTTGCTCACGTTGCCCCAGCATGGTTTGCCTTGTTTTGCTCATATTTGCCCGGCATGGTTTGCCTTGTTTTGCTCACGTTGCCCCAGCATGGTTTGCCTTGTTTTGCTCATATTTGCCCGGCATGGTTTGCCTTGTTTTGCTCACGTTGCCCCAGCATGGTTTGCCTTGTTTTGCTCATATTTGCCCGGCATGGTTTGCCTTGTTTTGCTCACGTTGCCCCAGCATGGTTTGCCTTGTTTTGCTCATATTTGCCCGGCATGGTTTGCCTTGTTTTGCTCGCGTTGCCCCGGCATGGTTTGCCTTGTTGTGGTCACGTTGTCCCGGCATGGTTTGCCTTGTTTTGGTTACATTTCCATGGCATGGTTTGCCTTGTTTTGGTCATGTTGTCCCGGCATGGTTTGCCTTGTTTTGCTCATGTTTCCCCGGCATGGTTTGCCTTGTTTTGCTCACGTCTGCCCCACCATGCTTTGGCATGGAATGCCTGGTTCTAGGCTAGTTGCCCCGGCATAGTTTGCCTTGTTTTGCTCACGTTGTCCCAGCATGGTTTGCCTTGTTTTGGCTACATTGCCCTGACATGGTTTGCCTTGTTTTGGCTACATTGCCCCGACATGGTTTGCCTTGTTTTGGTTACGTTGCCCCAACATGGTTTGCCTTCTTTTGGTCATGTTGCCCAGCATGCTTTGCCATGGATTGCATGGTTCTAGGCTAGTTGCCCCGGCATGGTTAGCCTGGTTGTGGTCACGTTGCCCCGGCATGGTTTGCCTTGTTTTGCTCACATTGCCCCGGCATGGTTTGCCTTGTTTTGCTCACATTGCCTGGGCATGGTTTGCCTTGTTTTGCTCACATTGCCTGGGCATGGTTTGCCTTGTTTTGCTCTCATTGCCCCGGCATGGCCTCCTTTGACTGGAAAGGCATGCCAGGACTACAGAGAGCTCTTGTTTGTCTATGTATGGGAAGATCTCTGGGTGGTTGGGATGACATGTCTGGAATGGGTCCCTAGCCCCTGTGATGATGGAGATGACATGTTTGGGTGGGAAGAAGATGGATTACACAATGTTGGTGTCTCTTCTCTCCCTGGCTGTTATTTCTATCAACTTCAGCTCATCATGTCTCCCCACACAGCTATTTTTGGTCAGCAAAACAGCGTTATCCTAGGATCCTCCGTCGCCCCCTCCTTCACCCCTCTCTGTGCTCTGCCTCTCCCAGCTCCCTCTCTCCCCATATTTAGAAAGCGCTTCCGGCGGCGCCGAGCACTTTGACGTCATCCCCCACACGGGAATGACGTCAATGCGGAGGGGAGAACGGGATGACGTTGCTTATTTAAATGTCTCCCGAGCAGAGGGATGGAGAGAAGGTCTGAACGGGCTGAGGCAGGACAGGCCCGTACCTCCGCCGCTGAGCTGCGGTAACCGGCAAGCAGGAACCTCAGAGACCCGGTCAGTGTGGGGGAGGGGCTTACCGGGACACGTACAAGGCATGCACACGGGCACTACACGGCATGTACATTGATCACACACTGCACGATCAGTACAAGGCATGCACAGCGAGCACACAGTGCACGATCAGTACACGGCATGCACAGCGAGCACACACTGCACGATCAGTACACGGCATGCACATTGATCACACACTGCACTATCAGTTCACGGTATGGACATTGATCACATACTGCACGATCAATACATGGCATGCACATTGATCACATACTGCACGATCAATAGATCAATACACGGCATGCACATTGATCACATACTGCACGATCAATAGATCAATACACGGCATGCACATTGATCACATACTGCACGATCAATACACGGCATGGACATTGATCACATACTGCATGATCAATACACGGCATGCACATTGATCACATACTGCACGATCAATACACGGCATGGACATTGATCACATACTGCACGATCAGTACACGGCATGGACATTGATCACATACTGCACGATCAGTACACGGCATGGACATTGATCACACAGTGCGCGATCAGTACACGGCATGGACATTGATCACATACTGCAAGATCAGTACAAGGCATGCAAATCGAGCACACACAGTACATAGCATGCACATACTGTCAGCCAGTGATCACACCTACACAGCCATTCCTTGGAGATGCATTGCACCCGTGCCAGCCTGGCTCTGCTATGTGCACACACTGGATGTAGTACTGGGACAGAGCAATCACATTTCAGATACTGCAGTCACAGTGCACCTTGGGTTACTTTATTGAATAAAGCGGTGACCGCACACATTGTATATACACACACACACACATTGTGTGTGTATATATACACATTGTATCTCTATGTATCTGCACCCAATGATTGCTTGTCTTGTGTAGGGAGGGAGGGGGGTTGGGATTCCATTACATTGCTGTGTGAGATCTGCCTTGGCCATAGCCCCCTTCAATGCAGCATCCTCCTCCTGTGCTGGTCCAGGAATAGTGCCTGTGTGATGCCACTGCTGTGACGGATGGGGGAGTGTGTACAGTGTAATATGTGTAATGTGCACATGCAGCATCTGTAATTGGGGCCTGCACTGGCAATCAGAGGTGAGTGTCGGCTCCTCGTCCATGGATCATGGTGCAGCCATAGCAGAGCTGCTCTGCAATGTAGAGGGATTCACTCTCCGGGATTACATAACTCAAGGCTGGACCTGTGGATGGAGGAGTGAGGGATGGATATGACAGCTATTGGCTGATTGATTGGTGGAGGTGTAAAGGGGGGAGGAGGGGGGGTCTTTGAATAGTCATGCATCTGCTGACCCATGGAATAGACAGCATGCATGGTAATGATCCGTGCCCAGTGCTGCGAATAGACATGGCTCGGAGGCTGGGTGACCCCTTACTGATCAGGGTACATTGGATGTGACTATGGAGCCAGGCCTGGAGCAGCTGCTGAAGGCGGCGCTGTCCTTGTGATCTGGGGTTATTATTTGGCTTGTCCCCTCCCCCTCCTTCCTCCTCCTTCCTCCTCCCGTTATCCTCCTGTCACTGTGTGTGTTTTAGAGACATGCTCGGTGCCGCCAGCTGAAGGATGGCCGCTTGCTGTGTCCTGCTGATGGCCGGGAACGAGCTGCTGCCTCCGCTGTCAGAGATGGCCTCATCCTGCCGCTGTCCGAGGTGCTGAAGGCGCCGCCTGCGTCCCCGGCGAGAGCTGCTCTGGATGGTGAGCGCTGTGCCTTTTGTGTGTCTCTCCGCAGCCCCTGCAATGTCACATAGACTGTCCTCTGACCCTGCAACACTCCTCTCCTGCTGGGTCACCTCCTATCTACCCCCCTTCTGACCCTCAGAAACTTTAAACTGAAACTGCCCATATACCCGGTGTACCCATCCCTATGGTTCATCTACTGCATAGTTATGTCACCTTTCCTGATCTCTGGATAGGCAGTGCTGCTTGTCTGCTAGGCACCCGCTCAGTGACACCCCCCCTCCCCCATATGGGTTATAGAGAACCTACGAATCCCTTCATCATTCCACAGCCTGAGAAACTTTGACACTTCAGCCCGGTGTTTTGTCCATGTACCCAGGTCCTAAGATATCCAAAAATCAGCAAGACCCTTCTAATCCCTCTTGTCATATATTGTATTGTAACTGTGATGTCTTCCTTATATTGTAAAGTGCTGTGCAAACTGTTGGCGCTATATAAATCCTGTATAAGAATGATAAAATAATAT